AGCACTGGGCAGCAGGTCCCTGGCTGGCGTTAGCCCCGTCCCTGCGGTCACCACTGCAGAGGAGGAGGAGGGTGGGCTGGGGGCCTGCCTGGGCTCTCCCACAGCCCCTCTGCTCCCCTGGTGAGGGGAGGTGTCGGTGCCATGCCCGCTCTACGGAGCCGGCCAGCGCTGCGTCAGGAGGGGTTTGGGGGAGATTGGAGGTGCCGGGGAGCGGCTCTGCTTCCCCACAGTGCAGCTGCAGCTGTGCTGGAACCTGCCGTGCGGTGTTGTTAGCGTGCTGGGGAGTGTCGTCACTTACCTGGGTTTCAGTTCAAAATGGCCTAAGAGCAGCTCGTATCCACATTCATTATCTCCCAGCCCCTCCTGATGTGCAGTAACGAGTCATCACAACATTGAGAGTGACTTGGAAAAGTTTCAGGAAACGTGCATCTGTATGAAGAACAGATTGCAAGTTCTTTGTTACATTCACATCGTGTTTGCTCGGTACTGCGCGTTTTAGGCAGTAGGTTCTGGGTTATTTACATGAGCCGGTGGAGCAGTGCAGGCGGCGGTGCGGGGTTTGTCTGGGCTGTGCTGGGTGCCGTTCCTGAGGCAGGGTCCTGTGCTCCTCGCCCCCAAGGACAGGGAGCCCGTGCTAAACTGTGTAGGAGCAAAGTGGGTCTGCTTTGCTCTGCGCGTGCTGGGTGCTTGTCCTGGTGCAGAAGGAGAGCTCTCTCCCAGTTGGGTTCATCGGCAATAGTGTTTGCAGCATGACTTGTCACTAGCTTCTGTTTTGGTTTGCTCAGGGAGCCTGGCTGTTCGTGTGACATTATTATTATTATTTACATAGGGCCCAGACTTGCTCTTTTTTATTGCCTGCAGCGCGATGTTTGTTCAGACTGGGCATTGTGAAGTGTAATCCCAGGTCCCACTGGCACCAGCACTCACTTCTGCCTTTTCTAGAAGCAGTAAGTAACCAACCATCTCCATGGCCTAGAACTGCTGGGGTTTAATTGCTCTTAGGAGGGAATGGAATTAGGTAGCTCTGGTTCACGGCTTGTCTGGCTGCGCAGCAGTGACGCCTGTTTACACAAAGTGCTGTCCTTTTCTCTCGGGGTGCATGGAGGGCGGTTTCCTGGGGCATTCCT